AATAAAACAAAAAAAAGAAAAAAAAAGGGGGGCCCGGGGGAGGGAAAAGTTTCCTAGGAGGAATGAAAGGGCCAGAAATCCCTCCCGCGCCCAAGAGGACCGACACCGCTAGTAGCGCAGATGCGGGCATGGAACCCGTGCCATACCCAACCCTTCATGCCAGTAAACCAGCAATCTGGGATAGCAACCTCACATCTGCCGAGCTACCTCGGTGGACAAAAGGGGAGGGCGGCCCGGGATATCCGCCACAAAGCAAACCTCCTTCAGCCACCACCCCCCGGAATCCGAAAGGGGGCTTCCCAGAGATACACCCGTCGCCCAAAAGACACCCAAAGCTACTCCGGGGATACCGGAGAGGGATCGGGACACCCCTGGGCAATCCAGATTCCAGGGCAAACTACCCACCGCCAAGAAACCTCAACGGAAGGGGAAATGGACCCCGGTGTCCTTTCCCCTACCTAGGAACTAGCGCGCCTGTGGGAGAAATCACGAAGGCAAAAAAGAGGAAGGGCAAAAGGGAGGGGTGAGGGGGAGGAGGAGGAAGGGAAAAAAGGGGAGATGGGGGAGGATGGGATAGGGGGGGGGAGAATGGGGGTAATTAGGTTCGTCCTGAGGAAGAAGACCGACAGGGCAAAATTCCTCAGACCAAGAGCCTCTTCAACCACGCCAAGGAGCCCCCCTTAAAAGGGGTCTATTGAATGAGTGCAAGAAACCACCCATTCCCAAATTTCAACTATCCAGTACAGTGGTCAGAATTTAGCAATTTTGCCAATTTCAAAACAAATTTTCAAAAGATCCCAAATTTTTCCGAATGGGGTTCCAGAACAAACAAGAAATACATTCCTGGCACTAAAATGACATTTCCTCTGTTCATTAGTCACGTCTAAAGGGCCCCTCTTACATTCTTTTGCTTTCACATTTGAATTTTTATTCTAACAAAAAATAGAAGTTTTACTGTTATGCAGACTACTGCATTAGTGTAAAAAATGGTATGAATCATATTGGCGCACTTGCAAAAGAATATTAGACTCACTAGTTGACGTGAAATTGGACGCTTGGCATGATTTGTTTACTTTTGAACTTTGGTAAAAATCGAACATTTCTGCTACTTTGAGCTCAATTTCAAGGTACTTTTCATTGTAAAACCAGTCAAAATCATCTCAATTTCCATGATATGCCTTCCATTCTATAAAATGAGACCAAGAAAACTAGAATACAACAATAAATACCATACGAAAATACAGTGTAAAGTCGCTGTTTTATTCCCAAAAAACGGTCCAAATTTTTTTTTTCTCATTTTTGCACTGTGTGCTGCAGGATTTTTTTTATACCGTGCACACTGACCACATAGACCCATTCTTTCATATGGAGGCCTACCAGCTTTCTCCCACTAGATTTGAGGGCGCTAGAATTTAGGCGTACTAGTACGTCAAAAACCCTGGTCGTAAGTCGTACTAGTACGTCCAAAAACCCTCAAAGGGTTAATTAAATTAGACAGCATTTAAGGGCTCCTATCTACTACATACAAAAACTTGCCTCAAACATTATCCAGAGGTATGGGAAAAGCTTCAATGTATTCAGGCCAAAAGCAGGATAGCAGCTTGCATCAAATCATGAAATGCCAGAGGTTACTACCCCACAATGAACACCAGCATTAGTTGGGTTGCCAAGTGTAGGCCTAACTCAAAATAGGTTGAGCAGGCCCTGCCCCCCTCACAGCAAAGATCCATGAAAAGCTCTATAGATGCAGCATAGAGGCTCACCAGGGATGAGGAATGCCCAAGTGCAAAGCTGAAGTGTGCACAATGTTTTTTACTGTCAATAAATAAATTATAGCCTCCTCACTTAAACGACAGAGTTCTGTTCCTAGGATCTCGTCGGTAAACGAATTTGTCGCTAAGTGAGGAGCATACTATAATGGTAGTCGATTAGTGTCGACCATCTTTGATATTGTTTTTATGTCACCTTTACACCATCTATAACATTTCTGGGTATATTTTTAAACGTTATACATACAGTAGTGTACTCTATATTGTCATAAACAGAATAAGAAAAATCAGCTCTAATATACATTATTTAGGTATACATACTGGTCAGAGAGCCTGTCGTAAGTCCGAGTTATTGGTAAATGAGTATGTCAAGTGAGGAGAGGCTG